TAAACGATTATTCCTAACTTCTTTAACTAACTTAAGGTTATTAATATTAATATTATGTCCATCAGTAAGAATATGTTGGGCAACACTAGATTTTTCTTCTCTACCAAACCTAGCATGAGCTAGATGTTCTTTAAATCTGGTTTTGATTGAACGTCTAGTTTGTCCAATATATTTTTTACTACAGTCATTACAACTAATTTCATATATCCCCGACTTTTCTAAGAATGGAATTTTATCCTTAGGGTTACCAAGGAGAGTTTGAATGGAGTTGCCATTTGAACTGTAAGCAATCCGTAAACCAAGTTTTCGAAAAATACCCTCGAGTCCGCGAGTAAATCTTGGCTCGTATGGCATAGTAATAAACTTGGTTTTATTAGCATCTGTTTGAAAAGTCGTAGATCTTGAAATAAAATTCCTAAATTTTATCTTATTAATTAATTTATCAATAATGTTACAATTGTAACCATTGTCTTTTGCAATTTTCTTAATTGTACAGAGTTCCTTATTATATCTATTTTTACTAAGAGGGAAGCTAAGTAATCTGTGTACAAGGAAGTTAAAACTAGCCATTTTATGTTGAACACAATGATTAGAGTCGTTGGGTATATATCTAGAGGTATTAGTGGGTTTTCTGTAGATGTCGAATTCTAAAGAATTCCCATTTCTTATAACCAACGTATCTAAAAATGGTAATTTGCCATCTTTTTCCATTTCTACTGTAAATTTAACCGAAGGGAAACGTGAATTTAAAACATCAAGAAAGTCTTGAAGACTTCTGGAACTTAAATCGAAGATAGCAAAAATGTCGTCCACGTATCTAAGCCATATTCGAGGAAAAAACTCAAGGTGGCTAAGGTCACTTTCAAAACGACTCATAAAAAGGTCGGCTATAAAGGGTGATAAAGAATTCCCCATAGCTGTTCCTTCTTTCTGTTCGTAGAAGCAACCATTTATCTGAAAATAATTTTGCCGCATGCACATTGAAGCCAGAGTTATGTACTCAGCTACAATGTCGGCGGAGAAACCATTTTCTTTAAGTAAATCCTCTAAATACGTCAAAGTAAGCGGAACAGGTACACTTGGAAAAAGGGAGCAAACATCAAATGAAACCATAACCTCACTGTCTTTTAGTTTTACGTCTTTGACTTTGTTTATGAATTCAATAGAATTTTTAACTGAAAAACTAGGTGGTTTAATAGGGAGGTTGTTGAATTCATTTGTCAACCACTTGGCTAATTTATAAGTTGGTGCACCAATTGCAGAGACAATTGGTCGCATCGACTTACCTGGTTTATGTATCTTGGGCAAACAGTACAAACGGGGAACTGTTGGACATGATACAAGTAAATAGGTAGACCTAGATTAGATAACTCTTCGCAAATAGTTAAGGATGTAGGCTGTTCTAGTTTTAGGGAAATGCGAAGTTTAGCTCAGGATAGGAAAGAGTGGAGGTACGTGCCCAACCAGTCTTAGGACTGACGACCTTATGATGATGATGAGAATGGACGTATCTTCTTACTTGTTTCCACGTGTGACTGTAGTCATTTGCTACGTTTTGATCACGCCCTTATTAAATTGCTTCATTAGTAATACAGACAAAGTGAAAAGAGATAACTGAATAACAGTAAACGGTGCAACGGTTACAGGTTGCTTATGTATGCAAAATATCAGGATCGACTTTATAATTGCCTGACTGGAATTATATCTTTAACCATGCGTCTTGACTTTCCTAAATTCCTGAGAATGTTGAATTTTCGTTGAAGTCCGATGCTGGCAACATGCTCAAATTCTGTTAGTCTGCATCTCTTTCTCTTACACATTAACTGACATAATGTAATTCCTTGTTCTTTATTAGTGTCCGCTGCAATTCCTACCTGACATCTCTTTTCTATGCTTACGATATTCCCTATAACATGAATGAATAAAAGTAGACGTTCTGCTAGCAACCGCAGTAGTCTAGTTAGTAAGTCGAAAGAAGAAAGTAAATGTGACAGTTTTATTGTGGACTATGCCAATTTTAAACGTCCCAACTATAACCCGAACTAAAAGACTTAAGCCCCGTTTTTACACTGGTTTAGAAGTCTCACGGAAGTAGTCTCATAACAAGAGCCTCGATAATTCTGTCATGAAAGATTGAGAACTGCTGCTGTGGTGAAATCCAACTAAGAAATACATTGCAATTTGCTGTAGTCATAGGAATTATTGTAATAACTATCGCTGTTAAACTGAAGTCTTACTACTTACTTGTTATTTAGCCGTAGAGTAGAAGTCGTTCGTTAAAATACTAAAATGAGGGAAATTTCTCACAGCTTCGCTTTCTATAACATGTACGTAGATTTCTTTTGGACTATAATGCAACTAACGCTTACAAGATACTGATCATCCACTCTATTCGCCTGACCCGACTACTACATTCAGTAGTTCTCAATCTTTCTGTTAAAGTACAAAGAAATGACTTCATATGAAGTCCTTGCCATTCTTAACATAATCTCAATAAATCCTGACTGCTAGTATCACCAACAATTTTTTTCCTGCTCTTAACTTTGCTGCTACGAATTTTTCCCTTACTTTGAGGTTTAATCTGGTTTATTCATCAGCCCTGTGACTAATCCTGATCCTTGCTCTGTATCGTCAATCCTTGCTTTGTATCCTCAATCCCTCCATAATTGGACTTTACTACAGTGAAAACCCTATTAAAATTTATTACCGTGATAGTTGCCTTTTAGGCACGAAATTGTCTTAATGGAAATCATGATCTGTTTTATGTGGCAACATTTTCCGGAATTAAAATGGATACGATATTTACGATAGATTCTAATATCGTAGTAATGACTGCATTTCTTTTGTAATAATTGTAACATTCTAGCTTTACGGGTAGCAATAGAAAAAACGATAGAAAAAGGAAAGAGTGCGTACATAGGATTTGTAGATTTAGAGAAAGCTTTTGACAATGTTAAATGGGACAAGATGTTAAATATACTTAAAAATGTAGGTATGAGTTACAAAGATAGAAGAGTGATACTTAGTTTGTATAAAGAGCAACAGGCAGTTATAGAGCTGGGGATGCAACGTAGAGAAGTAAATATTAGGAAGGGAGTCAGGCAGGGATGCACACTGTCACCGCTACTTTTTAATCTATACATCGAAGACGCCATCAACATCATTAAAGACAGTACAACTGTAGGGATAGATGTGCAAGGGCAAAAGATTAGTATGCTTAGATTTGCAGATGATATAGCAGTATTAGCATCTAGCAAGGAGGACCTAGAGATAGCTTTAAATAAAATGGAAGCGGTACTGACAGATCAGTACTGTATGAAAATAAATAAAAGTAAAACTAAAATACTGGTATGCAAGGGAAGAAAAAGTAGGGAAAGAGCGAATATAAAGATAGGAGACGAAAAATTAGAAGAAGTGGCTGATTTTAGATACCTAGGAAGTCAGATAAGTGAGGATGGAAGGAGTAGTAGGGATATAAAGCAGAGGATAGCGCAGGGTCGTGTCGCCTTTAATAAAAAGAAGTCACTTCTATGCTCGCGAACGGTTAATTTAGAAATTCGAAAAAGGTTGTTAAAGGTGTATGTTTGGAGCACGGCGTTGTACGGGTGCGAAACATGGACAGTGGGAACGGCGGAAAAGAAAAGGTTAGAAGCGTTCGAAATGTGGTGTTATAGGCGGATGATGAGGATATCGTGGGTAGAAAAGGTTAGAAATGAAGAGGTATTGGAAAGAATAGGAGAACAGAGGACTCTATGGAAGTCAATAAAAAATAGGCGAGATAGGTTGGTAGGACACCTTCTCAGGCATGAAGGTCTAGTCAGAGACATATTAGAGGCAGAAACAGGAGTTAGGAGGGGTAGAGGTAGACCTAGATTAGATTACTCTTCGCAAATAGTTAAGGATGTGGGCTGTTCTAGTTTTAGGGAAATGCGAAGTTTAGCTCAGGATAGGAAAGAGTGGAGGTACGTGTCCAACCAGTCTTAGGACTGATGACCTTATGATGATGATGATGATGAATTGTAACATTGTAGTTATGTTTTCTTGTTAAAATTATGTTTCGTTCGATGTAATTGACAGCAGATTTCATCAGAAAATAATGTATGAATGTGATCACAATTTCGACAAAGAGATATTTACAAAAGTCATAAATTGGTCCAGTAATTGTTTAATAAGTTTCAACAGCGAGTTTTTGCAGTAACAAAATGGGAAACAATATGGTAGAAAGGTGGTCAGTTATTGGCGCTTTCGCTTTGTGCTCGAATATAAATTAAAATTTGTTCAATCAATAAATTATTTCGGTCGGCTTTGTATCGTCATGTTTTACAGTTGAACGGGTCCATCGTATCGTCCGGAACGTAGTTGCATTTGCGTCAGTTGGAATCAAAGTGAGTGAATTTTCCTGCTGAAAATTTCCAAAGCAACGCTGTCTCTAATTGCCACCTGATGATGATAACAACAATGCGAAAAATTGTTAAAACTAATGGCTTGACTTTAATGCAAAATTTGACCGCCGCCGCTATTCAATTCGAAAAAGACAACACAATTGTTACTAACGAAAATATCTACCGCATTTTTATTATCTTCATAATGAACTTCTATATGTAACTATAACCTTTTAGCCAATAATTTGAAGCATTTTGTTTTTCTAAATATCATTCATGAAATTCGAGAAATTATTAAGAGACTTATAACTAGTTCAATTTGTCCAAATTTGGGCAGATGGGTACCGTTTTCGATGGTTCAATCGTCGAGAGATTCCACTAGTGGGCATTTAACCACAGCCTGTATTTGGACCAATATTGATATATTTAACAGTTGCTTAGTTCCACTTTCAATTAAATATTCCATCCTGGACTTCAAAACTAGTTACCATTCTTTAATCAGGCTATTAAGTCAGCTAATTCCACAACGTAGTATCATCAGAGGAGATACCTGCACCCTATTTTCTTACAAATATATGCCTACATATTATTATATAATATGATTATAAAAACTGCATATTTTGTGCAATAGTTTTATTTCATATTACTGTATGATCATCAAAAGTACATTATGTTGCATCGCAAGATAAAGTTCTTCATTCAAAACCCAAACTTTAAGCATCAAAGCTAGAATCGCCGACATGTTATTTATTGTTACCCTGTTGTTGAACTTGAACAAAAGGTGAGAACGGTGTCACCACATTGCTCACACTGGAGGCGAAAGGAAAGCCAGGAATGGCTCCTCCGGCTACGGTTCTAGAAGAACCGGTAGGAGCCTGTAGTATCCTTGCAGGAACAATTCTGGTGTTGGTCGAAGGAATTCCTGCTGGCGCAGCAAAAACTGGTTCCGATGGAACTCTCACTAACTGCTCAGATGTAACAGCTACTAATGGTTCATTGTTATTCACCAACACGTATTTTTCGGGTTGAGGTGGGAGAACTATGAAGAAATTGTTTTGAGGTTGTTGCAGTTTTGCCGTGGTGTTGGTGGTTGTATTAACAGGCTGTGGAAAAGATAACAATGAAAATATAAATGAAATATCTGACAGAACACTAGAAGTAACTTATTTTTTATCTTGGAAGTTAGGTGACTCAGGATGGAGAAGGTGGTGGACACATAAAACAAAGAATAGTATAGACACTAGGTAGGAACAAAGTTTCTTACACTGTTCAACAAATATTAATTGTAAATTTTGGTTAAAGTACCCGACTACCTTCTGTTGATTATGAATAAATGAAGTAAAAACTTATCAAGTTTGAAATCTACCAATGAATTGAAAGTTCTGAGAAAATACCGACCTTAAATGGGTTTTAACAATTATTTGGACTTTTACTCGTGTTGCACAGTTAAAATACTTGTTTTTTTTAACTTACCACAGGTTCCGATTGGGGTTCCGCGGTTGTTATTGAAACTTCGGTGGTAGTAGGTTGTTCAGGTGCTGGGGGTACGTATTCAGGCGGGCCATATGAAGGAGCTGGAGGTCCGTACGATGGTTTAGGTTCTTCAGGTTGTATTTCTTGTCTTTCAAAAGTAACCGAAGTCCTTTGGGGTTGAAAACGTTGTTGGCGGGAGAACGATCTGAATCGGGGAGGTTCACATGCCGCCAAAGCAACAATAGAAAACAGTACAACAACAATTGCTCCCTAAAATCAAAGAAGAAAAATTGCAATTCGGGAATTTCGATAAGATTTTATCGGATGTTCGTACATATATATATGCATACTAATTTACTTCCTTTTTGAAATGTTCATCAACAGTTTTTATTAATCGTTTGCAACTCAATGATTGGAAATTATTTATGGCTCTTGTGGGTAATCGCATTTTCAAGTAATTTCACTTGTTGGGGACAATTGAATTAAGCAACTATATTGCAGGTACTTTCTAACCGCATGTATTTAACCGTTGGCACTCGTGTAGAATTACTTAATTCATGAAATACATTTTTACTTTTAATAGCGGTTAGTATTTAAATTAAAAATTAATGTGAAATAAAATTAATTTCTTTCCCGCTACAGACTACCTCAAGTTAACGGAAAGAAAATTTTATTGGGACTCACACCCTCACCGGAAAAAATTCTTAAAGTGTATTTAATATGGATTTCGACGTTTCGTCGTTGTTACTGCTGTGATCTCTCGCAGCTTTGTGGTTAGAGCATTGGCTGGGAAAGCCAGAAATTCGGGTTCGATTCTCGGCGGGAGTGTTACAACAGCAACACTTTTTTTTCCTATTAACTTAAGGAATTTGTAGCGTGAAATATTTATTAATATTTAAATTACTTAATTCAGTTTGAAACTTATTAATTTTGGTAGATAAACGAAAGGTACAAAGATAAATTGATTGTGTAATTAATTTCAAGTTAACGTTTTATTACGTGATAATATTTGCTTTTAATAAAAAAAAAAGAATCAAATTCTTCGCAAAAAAGGAAATATGTTATATAAAAAGTGATAGTAACACTTTTACTTACGTTCATGATTGAAATTCTTAGTTGTTGTTCGATTATTAAACAATTAATAACTGATAATGCTTACCGGCGTGCATTGGGTATTTATATTCAATTGAAATTACGTGAGCCGAATGCAACAATTGATTCATATTGTTAATAAATTGATCCACTGCCAAATTCTGTAACCCTTGGCCTACCTTTCGATGACATATTATTACTAAAATCGGAACAATTATGCAATTTTGAGGTCACCTTAACTCATTCAAGTTAATTATTTTTGTGTAATAAATAATTTGTAATATTTTTAATATTCACTGAATAGTGATTATCAAATAAAAACCATATAGTTTTTTCGAGTTTATTGAATATAAAAACATTTATTTGAAAAACAAATATATTAAAGTGTTTTGGTATTATCTGATTGTTTAAATAAATTAATGGAAAACATTCTTCAGTTCTTGCTTTACATTTGTTTTGTTTGGCTTTAGTTTTTTATATAAATAAGCGTAAAAACTGAACGCTTTGAATATGGTTAACCTTTTTTCAATTAACTTGAACAAATGAAGAAAAAGGCGTTATCACACTGGCATATCCGCTACTGTATGGGGCGGATACAGGGACGGCTTGAAATGTAGGTAAAGAATAGGGTTCGACGATACGGGCAGCAACAAATTTGGCACTTGGGACTTGCTTGGCTGATGCAGCAGGAATTGCGGGAACTGCTACGAAGGGCGCACTTTTTTCAACTGACGGTACCGCGATGAGTGGTGAATTTTTTTCGACGACCACGTAGTTCTGGGATTGGGGCAAAACAATAAAGTACGTCCCTGGAGCAGAAGGCTCTTTCAATTTGGATGGACTTACAGACTTCGTCAGCTTTGCAGGTTGCACATCTTCGGCCTAAAATAAAAATTCTTTAGTATTGAAATCAACATCAACTTATACAAATAAAATAATTCGAAGTGGTCTGTATTCTGTCGAAACTGCCAGACGCGGATCGCGATTTCGATCTTTCTGGATCTCATCAGCGCGTCGCAGACAGCTCCGACAGAACAGAGACCAACTTTTACCTGCTGTCTTAACAGCGCGTTTTAGAAAATACCACAAATGGCGCGGTAAACGCCATCTGTAGTGCGATGCTACATTTTAGGATTATGTATGCTCCAACAAGGTCCATTTATCATCACCATTACCATCAACTTATACATCTAACAGCCAAAAAGGTTTCGGATTGATATAATTTTTTTTTTTTTGGATTTAAAATTACTAAAGTCTTGGTATTCTACGTTCATTAAAAAAGGGTACGGGACAACTGATCACACGGCTCACGCGTGCGTTATTAAATCGCGCGCCCTATGAATGTATGTATTTTCGTGAAATTTTTACAATATTTTAATTTATGTGTATATTTACTAAAAACGAATTGTCACAGCTATTTAGTTCATTAAATAATCCAAATATGCCCTGAATGCCATTTAAATGTGTAATTTCACAAAGAAACTTCAATAGTGGGTTAAGACACGAACCCGATATTTTAAATTTTGTAGAAAAAAGAGACTGAGGGCTGCTTCTGTCTTCAAATAATAATAACTATTTTTATATTCTTTGGAATCTTTGAATTAATGATTACTTCAACCAGATTTTAAAATATATTGTTAACAAATTACCTAAATAAATAATTTTACACATTCACAACAAAAGATTCTCGATTTTGAATTTTTAAGTAACCATTTTAGAATATGTTATGTACCGATATGTTCTTCTGATGACACTTTATGAAAAAGCCTGAAATATACCGGCCACACGGTTTTACTTTGATTAATTAACATTAATTATTACCAATGGTTCAACATCGGGTGCTTCTTCGTTATTGCTATAAACGGCTTCTGTTGTACTTGGTTCTTCTTCAAGTGGTGGAACGTATGAAGGGACAGGTGGGGCTCCGTACGACACATGGGGTGTTCCTCTACTTTCTTGGGGTTGTGGTAGAGGGAAAGGAGGGCCTTGGGGTTGGTAACCACTTGGAGCATAAGGTTGTTGTTGCTGCTGTTGCTGTTGCTGCGATTGTTGCTGCTGTTGCTGTTGTTGTAATTGTTGCTGCTGTTGTTGGCGTACCAAAAATCTTGGTCTTTGAGGATCAGCAGTGCTCAGGGAAATAACAACAAGGGCAATAGCGACAGTATACTAGAAAATAAAATAGTCCACGTTTGTTATATACCAATTGGACTAATGTGGTTTTTATGTAACAGGTGAAGAGCTATAATTTAAATGTTTAGAGAAACTGAGCACGAACGATCAGTAAAAATGAGGAAATGAATCTGACGAAAGCGTCTTCAACGTTCTTTTAGGAATTATTGGAAAAGGTAGATGATGGTTGGAGTGAGAAAATTGAAACGAACGAAATGAAGGCACAAGAGAGTAAGGCATTATCTGTGGAATGTTACTGTCCCAGTGTTTGTCTAAATGAACCAAGGAAACCACAGAAAATCCTGGCCCAGGACAGACGGATCGGGAATCGAACCGGTTTCCTCTCGAATGCTAAACAATATTTTAAACTCTAGGCTCTAGGCAATGACACTCGGTATTTCGCAGCGAAATAGGCAGGTGATGAAAAGAATATCGTGGAAAATGCAAAAAGGGAGAGAACGGAAGGGAGGTGAATGTGGGGTTTGTTCTAGACATATCTTGAGTGTTGTAGTGAATATTGGCTCAGGAAATGAAGGAGGTGCGTTGCAAGTCTTCAAATTGTGGACCATCATGTAATGATAATAAAGAGTTTAGACCGCTGAATTGGTTTTCATTAAGAATTATAAATAAACTAAAGAAACATTTTAAAACAAAGAACTTGAACTAAAAGGAAATTTTGGAGTAGTGCTATTAAAAGAAGTTAATGATTTTCGGTATCTAGAAATGAAGAGGTATTAGAAAGACTAGGAGAACAAAGGATTCTATTGAAATCATTATGAAATAGGCGAGATAGGCTGGAGGACACCTTCTCAAGTATGAAAGGCTAGTCAGAGACATATGAGTAGCAGAAACAGGAGTTAAGAGGAGTAGAGGTAGACCTAGATGAGACCATTGTTTGCAAATACTTAAGGATGTGGGATGTTCTAGTTTTAAGGAAACGCGAAGATTAGCTCCGGATAGGAAAGAGTGGGGGTGTATGTTCAACCAGTCTTAGGACTGACGACTTTATGATGATGAATGCTATAGTTTGACTTACGCGTCAAGGGTTCTGTGGTTCGTCAAAAAAGTACGTTATTAACTAGATATACTTGGTGTAACGATTTAAATATGAAGCAGGATTTCCACAATCTCCAAGGATACAATTGATCAAAAATTGTAGGTTCTTTTCATTATAATTATAAATTTGTTTGAGACGCTAATCTATTATTTTTACAAAACTCTCTGTTACAACATTTTTGTTAATCTAAAAAATTATTCTTTACGAATTAAAGCAAGAGTCAATATATGTATATTATACATACATTTCCAAATGAATTTTATCGTTCTGTTAATAATCATAACATAAAACTGAAGAAATTAATTACTATGCAAAACTTTTCTTTTGGTCTGCATCAAGTGATTCAATTTTAAAAAATATTCCGTGTAATTTCCCCATTCTGCTCTTAAATTTCGAGTAGTATTTTGAGTTCCTTTAACGATGAAAATCAAAATTCTTTCATAACCGTAAATGTTAGCAAAGGTAACTGTAATTGTGACCTATAAATAGAAGGTCTTACCCTAAAGTGTCATCTTTTACCTTTTTTGGCACAGATCCCTTCAATAAGGAATTGTATTTGCCAGTTTAATGCAAATTCAAAATTCTTTTGACAAAATACGTACCTATAGTTATACAATTAATAACAGGTATTTTATACCTACATCTATTAATATAAATACACTCCATCTTTCTCTTTCTAATCTCCTTCTTCTAATAGAATTGCTTAAACCAACATCCTACAGGTACATGACGTTATAATTATCGAAATAAATGTATAATATTAAAACTAACACATATTTAGTTTAGCCAGAAGAATTGATTCGCTTACCTGCATTTTCTTGTCCATTTCTATAAACGTTCATTAACCAACCGATAACAAACTGATAAAGATATCGATCTTTGTAGTATTTATACAATCGAACGGAGTGTATTGTCCTAATACGTGCTTTACATTTCATCGCATCTAATCGTGTTAAGTATTGAGCCTAGACACAAATGCCAAACTTTGAATTCAGTTTTCATCTGCCCTTGGCCTGATGAAATTTACCAACAACAACTGAACTAATTGGGAAATTGTTGTATGTAAATTTGGAAAGCTGCGTTTTTTACTTCACATTATAAAAAGCTAACCCGAGTTTCATGCCACTATCTTTTTGAGTAAATACTAATTCAGCGAATAAAATAAAACTTTCACGTATTATTAGTCCAGGCTAAAATCTCTCTGCCTTTTTTTTTATTTTTTGGAGAATTTAGACCAGGGGTCGGCAATCTTTCTTGGCCGCGGGTCAAAATCAACCTGTTCAGATCATATCAATATTTCCTTGAATTTTACAAATTATTATTATAGTAGGTAGTCAGGTAATCTGTTTTCGCACTTATTGCAGCATCAGCTAATTTAATTTATAAATACAGGTGCATCTTCACCTTTACTGTACTTTTANTGTTCAGATCATATCAATATTTGAATTTAATAAACTATTATTATAGACGATAGTCAGGTAATCTGTTTGTATAGGCTTTCAGGATCACAACAGATGTTTGTATCACAGGAAATTAGGTTTTTCTAATAGCAAACTTTCCTGTCATTAAAATGAAATTACAATTGCTTTCTTCTACTTGAACACAGCAGGACATACGATTCAATACTCCCAAATTTACATTTTATTCTGGTTCTATTGTCCTGCCTTATCTTTACCTATTTATGTCTTCGTGCAATAGATACTTGTAAATTTGTAGTCGTTCATGTACAGATGCATATGTACAATACATATTGTTGTTCCACCACTCACCCTTTCCACCCTGCTTATCCCCACGCAACCACTCGTCTTAAATTATATATTTGTTTGTAAATATCCAGCCTTCAACGAATAAATTGCTAATTAGACATTTGTATTTTTATCTTTGCACTTTTCATAATCATCATCATAATTTTTATTGTACTCCGTGTGTAACTCGAACTTGATTCGAAAATTAAATTCTCCCGAACTTTTGAGAATTAAAACACAACCAAAATGCGAGTATTAAAGAGACGTTTGGGTCAGAGATATTTTCGTAATAAAACAGCGTTTTAGTAAATTATAAGATATATTTTATTAAGAAAATAGTTACAATCTGCCCTTGGCCTGATGAAATTTACCAACAACAACTGAAGTAATTGGGAAATTGATGTATGTAAATTTGGAAAGCTACGTTTTTTACTTCATATTATAAAAAGCTAACCCGAGTTTAACCAAACCTAACCTAACCCGAGTTTCATGCCATTATATAATTATGAAATTTACCAACAACAACTGAACTAATTGGGAAATTGTTGTATGTAAATTTGGAAAGCTGCGTTTTTTACTTCACATTATAAAAAGCTAACCCGAGTTTCATGCCACTATCTTTTTGAGTAAATACTAATTCAGCGAATAAAATAAAACTTTCACGTATTATTAGTCCAGGCTAAAATCTCTCTGCCTTTTTTTTTATTTTTTGGAGAATTTAGACCAGGGGTCGGCAATCTTTCTTGGCCGCGGGTCAAAATCAACCTGTTCAGATCATATCAATATTTCCTTGAATTTTACAAATTATTATTATAGTAGGTAGTCAGGTAATCTGTTTTCGCACTTATTGCAGCATCAGCTAATTTAATTTATAAATACAGGTGCATCTTCACCTTTACTGTACTTTTACTTTTAAGACTTTTTATGTCTGATTAGCTGCCGCCCATAGGGTATTGCTAGTAAGTAATTGTCCAAAAGTGTTTCTTAGGAATAAAGTTTGTTTAAAAGATTTTGAGTTCTTTNACTAAAATTGTCAATTCTTAGATATTCAAAATACTGCAAATTTATAATATTTTCTTCTATTTCATCGGGCTTTATTATAAATGTAAACATTTCTCCATGTTTCTTAAGACTTTGAAACCGACTTTCATATTTACTTTTAATGACCGAAATCCAACTTTCGAACATATTTAGATTGTGTTCATCGATATTTTCTTTTTCATGTTCCCTTTTTAACAAGGGAAAGAAATGAAATTTTTTAGTTTTTATGTCAGTTTCAAATAATATCAATTTTGAAGTAAAACTCTTCCATTCCTCATACATTTTCAAAATTGTGTGGTTATTGCCTTGGAGTCGTACCTTGAAATCATTATAATGGTTCATTATGCCTCTTAAGTCTTAAAAACCATTGTTTATCATTGAGTTCGAGATCATTTTCACAGATTTCGTGAAGAAATATTTGTATATCATCAAAAATCTACAAATCTATTAAGAACTTTGCCCCGACTTAACAATCGTATTTCAGAATGTAATAACAAATCTCCATATTTCGATTCAATTTCTATATCTAGACCAACAAACTGTTGACGTTTCGGATGAAACCTTTTAACGTTTCAGTGACGGACTGACCGATCAGGTTCTACAAGATTTCATTCGCTTTATCAGAATGCTTAATAAATATAATGACCGATCAGGTTCTACATGATTTCATTCGCTTTATAAAAATGCTTAAAAAATATAAAAAAGTGACATTTTTTTACAATATCTGTTCAAATTGATCTTTTCACTAATCAAAGTAATAGCTTTTGGATTCTCTACAACATACATGTAGAAATGCGACCATTATGTCGAGTTATACAATGAAAAAATTAAAAGAAATGGGTATTTTGCAATTTTAAAGCCTTGTGAGAAAGTAATAACCAACTTAGTTTCATTCATATCTCCTTCCATGGCCCTTTACAAAGTATTGTAGGTCACAAAAATTCACCGATATTAACGCAGATTTCGAATAGTTATTGGTTTTATATGCCATTATTTTTTATATTATTTAATAGATTGCATGCATTACAAAACAGGTATTTTATACCTACATCTATTAATATAAATACACTCCATCTTTCTCTTTCTAATCTCCTTCTTCTAATAGAATTGCTTAAACCAACATCCTACAGGTACATGACGTTATAATTATCGAAATAAATGTATAATATTAAAACTAACACATATTTAGTTTAGCCAGAAGAATTGATTCGCTTACCTGCATTTTCTTGTCCATTTCTATAAACGTTCATTAACCAACCGATAACAAACTGATAAAGATATCGATCTTTGTAGTATTTATACAATCGAACGGAGTGTATTGTCCTAATACGTGCTTTACATTTCATCGCATCTAATCGTGTTAAGTATTGAGCCTAGACACAAATGCCAAACTTTGAATTCAGTTTTCATCTGCCCTTGGCCTGATGAAATTTACCAACAACAACTGAACTAATTGGGAAATTGTTGTATGTAAATTTGGAAAGCTGCGTTTTTTACTTCACATTATAAAAAGCTAACCCGAGTTTCATGCCACTATCTTTTTGAGTAAATACTAATTCAGCGAATAAAATAAAACTTTCACNGACTATAGGACATGGTGGACTATACCTTGATAATTCTTTCTGTAGAATTTTTTAGGAAACAAACCGAAACACTTTAAGAAACTCAGTAGTGATAGTACTAAATATTAATGTGAAAATTCATTTTTATTTTTTTTTTCACACTATCGCCGGGACCTTTGACTTTGCGCACCAATGCAACAATCAGTGTAGGTATATATATATCGTTTCAGTCTGATAAAATTGATTAATTATTACGAGAAAAATATGTGCCCATCAGCTTTATTAAATAAAAAATCGTTTAAAGGTCGGAAAAGAAACGGTTTCTTCCCATTTTCTTCGAACAAAAGACAAAACGATAAAATTGACGGAACAATATTTCATAAACATAAGAAGATCGGAGTGTTGGTACAGCGACTTTAGTCGCCCGTTGACAGCAGCGTCGGCATCAGCAACAGCCCCGTTAATAAGTTTGCCGGGGCGAAAACGCGGGGGGCTGTGGGGGGTGCGGTCGGACCCAAGGGGTACGAAAGCAAATTATTTACAGTCAAACGATTCCATTTCAATATCGGAACAAAAGAACGGCTGCCGCCTCCGTTACCGCTCCAATCGTTCTATCTCTCTCTTTCTCTCTCACACCGTCCATCGTCAGCTCCTGACTCTATCTCACTCACTTTCAAAATCTGATACATGTATCTGATCATCTGAACAAACGCAATGGGGAAAACCCGAAGTTACCGACAACGCGTCCCTTTGTTATACGACCACGCACATCGTTGCCGATATTTTAATTTCAAAAGATAAGACGGAAACGAGGACGCGAACGAGATCTCCGTTAAATCTGACGTGGAACGTGGATATAAACAAGTCAGGGAAAGCGATTTAAATCGGTAAATATCAGAAAAGTTATAATTTTATATCCAACTAGCTGAACTTCTCCAAATTTGGACGATAGATACCGTTATCGATGGTGAAAAGCACTCACATTTTAAGCAATTCTAAAAATTTAATTTTGACAACATATCATTACAGTTTATTGTATCTGATACTTAAACCTGCTCAGTACATTCCAATTGTTTAATTCCAACTCGAATACCTCGAAATTGACGATTTTTAATTAAAGGCTCTCATTAAGTCAAAACATCCTGACTATAGAAACTCGATGTAAGCAACCTTTTCATCTCTTAATCAAACATCTCCATCACCAGCTAAATCCAACTACACGTACGATCTTCCATCGAAAAGTAAATTTCTTGGCCGTTTTATCCATGGTTAATTGAAAGGTTAAGCAACTCACAAACACATTTACGGTAGATTAGGTATTATTACAGTGAATATCTCGTAATAATAAGTAATGTCAGATTTCATAATCCAAAATTTGATACGTCTAATTTATCATGTCGTATGTTGTTAAGACATTTCTATAGTTCCATGAAGAGTTTTACTTTATGCTAACCATACTGTGTTTGTTTATTGACGGCGTAAGACGTTTCAATAACTTAAAACC